GCATCAAGACTACTTGATAGAGGATATGGACTTGACTTCGCTCCACGACACTGCACCATCACACATGGACAACAACAAGCACACCTCATAAGACACTCAGGACTTTTCTACCTACGAGCAGAGAAGATCGACATCCCTACAGGATCCGACATCTACCCAATGACTACAGACAATGGAAAATCCATTGCTGTGCTTCAACTTACAGAGAACACAGTACAACAACAAGAACAAATTGCACCACTCACCCACACAGACCAAGGACTACGACAGATCCTTGGTGGAAGGAAACACTGACTACTGGAAACTTGATGGTGACTACGCCGTCAGAGTACACAAACGACCACGCAAAGCATTATTCACACCACACAACAGCGGTTGCCCAATACCTGAAGGAGAACTAGATGATTGGCGACTAACCATCATCAACAGACAAGGGCAAGAGCAAGAACAACTACAAGAGAACCCAACACAACTTTCCAAGCAAGAACTACAACGAAGACTAGAAGGTGAAAACTGGACTGGAGAAACCAGATTCAGAAGAAAGATAACACCTACACGCAGAGCAACATCAAAGACCACACCAACAAGGCAGAGCTCACAACCACAACGGCTAATGGACACACCACCAACCAGATCAAAGATCCAACTACGAGCGCCACAAAAGATATGGAGACCTAAAGCAGCACCTTCTACAAATTGACACCACACAACCAAAGGAGACAATCCACAGACCACTCACAGCACAGGAGGACAACCAAGACTACTGGGAAAGACAAGGTGAATACTGGATAAGACACCACACAACACTTAGAACAACTCTATTCACTCCAACAGATGGACCAGGACATCCACCAATCAACACACTTGAGCCCCACAGAACTACAATCACTCACAACAACTTTGGAGAAGTTTCGCAACGCAAAGATGACTGGACAGTCATGGGCAACGCAGCACTACCATTTCAATGGAAAGGAACAACAAGGTTCACCGTGAAGAAAGACTACGAGTACATCCAGGAGGACCACGATGAGGAACAACAACACGAGCATCATGAAGCACGCAGAGCAAGAGGACTACAACAACCGCAGCAGCCCACTCCACAACAAATAGCAGAACACAACTTGACACACCTACCATACAGAAATTGGTGTCCAATTTGCGTTCAAGGCAAAGGACGTCAGGACAACTACAAGAAACAACAATCACGACAACCCATCATCCAAGTGGATTTTGCCTACATCGAATCACAACAAGATCCGAAGACCATACCAGTCTTAACAGCAGTTGATGTTACTACACAACTGTGCATGGCGGTATTGGTTCCGAACAAACCATCAATGATGGACTACATGATCAACAACCTACAAGCATTCATCTTTGAATGCGGAAGAACACAAGGCATACTACAAAGCGACAACGAAGACACACTCAATGCACTACTAAAAGCAACAGCATCAAGTCGGCTCAATGACTGTACGACATTCACCATCCTACAGCAGCAACAGTCAAGGAAGCGTTGAGCGACTACATAGAACACTTCTCGGACAAATCCGCGTCGTCAAAGCTCAGGTTGAAAGCAACTACAGCATGACGATGTCCACAAATCTACTACCTTGGATAGTACGACATGCAGCATGGACGGTAAATCGCTACGTCATTCACTCAGACGGCTACACAAGCTTTGAACGCAGCTGGGGAAGAAACTACGAGCGAGCAATCTGCGAATTTGGCGAGACACTACTTTACCTTCCACCACAACACAAGAAACTTCCAAAAGCAGACCTACGGATGCAGAAATGCATCTGGCTCGGAAAAGTTTCCGAAACCGGAGCAAACTACGTCGCAACGGAATCAGGCGTACAAAAGGTACGAACAGTACGGAGACTACAACCGGACTTCAAATACGACCTCGCACTGTTGAACAAAGTTTCCGGCACACCATGGGCGCCACGACGGAACACCTACAACCCATCGTTCGCAACACTGTTGGATACGCAACTACAACCGTCAGAGAAAAGAAGGTCCACGCAAGATTTCGGACAACAAACGAACGCTACGGACGACATCGTTGCGGAACCCGCAACAAAACAACAACGCGCTACACCACCTCCACGACTTCCGTCCACATCGACGTCAAGTTCACGACCACTACTGGATAGTCCTATGGCTACTTCACCAACCGGACGACAACATCCACCACTACCAGCACCACCTCGACAAACACTACGACGTTTAACTCCGGAAGAAGTAATGCAACCAACTAAAGCACAGAAGACCTCGAAGGACACTACAATCAGATCAACGGAGCAAGCAACCAAAGAACCACCACCACTACGACAGAAAATCAACGCAGTAACACTTCCTAACGGAAAATCCAACACTCCCTACACAAACGACAACACCTCAGAAGACCAACCCATAATCTTCGACAACGAAGGTTACGACGAAACACAACTACTGGAAGGAATGAAACACGCGTCAAACCAAATGAAGCTACATGACGTCTACGACGAAGTAGATGCGTCTACCGTCGACGACAACGTCATCAAAGAAGCGACACCTACAAGATGGGTACACAGAAAGAAAGGACCAGGAGTACGAAGCCGAATCGTCGCAAAAGGCTACACAGAGAAGATCGAGGACGAAGACTCCGTCTACGCCTCTACACCAATGTTCACGAAACTCCGAACACTTCTCGCACTACAAATGCCACGACCAAACTGGATCGCACGACTAGGTGACGTCTCTACAGCATTTCTACACGCACCCATCGCAAAAGACCATGACGGTAAACAACGTGACGTCTACCTTTGGCCACCTAAAGAACTTTGTCCACAACAGGACAAAATCTGGCGACTAAAGAAAGCCATGTGTGGACTACGCAGTTCACCAAAAGCATGGCAGGACTACCTGGCTGAAGTGTTACAAAAGCTCAGCTTTGTAAGACTAAAGTCAGAACCTAACGTCCACACAGACTCCACAGCAGGCAAGAGCATTGCTACACGACAAGGCACTAGCAAACGAGCAAAACACGTCGACCTTAAGTTTCTCTACACACAAGACCTCATCAAGCACGACATCATCAGAATCTTAAGATCAACACACTCCACAACAGCGCAGATTTGTTTACCACATACATCAGCAAAGACGCACTACACAGGCTCATCCAGAGCGTTGGAATACGCATTTAGCACTACGAACGACCAGCACAGCCGTTTCACAACAACAACAACAACGACTTTGGACATTTCATGTATGTCAGTAGCTACATGTAACACGACACCTTTGGTATGTGAGTAACAGTAACTACATGTATTTGCACTTTCACTTTTGGCGGCTGAGTCAACACTACAGTTGTTTGTTTTACATGTCTGCATGCGCCGCCTGCCTGATAGCAACTACTCAGGCTCATTTTGTTTTTTGCCCCGTTTCACTACATTCGCACTCCACTGCAGCCATGGCCGCTCCATCTACTGCAGATGCTGCGATGGGAGATGCGACTACACCCAACAGGGCGTCTACACGGAGGTGGCTGTCACTACGGACTCCAGTGACCATGGAACTCCACCACCTCAAACCTACAACGGCCCCAACTACCACTTCAACCATCCTACACCTGGCAACACAGTTTACTACAACCCGACCACAGTGATGGACCAACTACACATCACTGAGCACCAGACAACCACTACACCACCACTGCCCGACAACACACCCTACGCACAGTTTTTCACTGCGCTCACACTCGAAGAGTATCAACTACTTTCACATCAACAAGCAACTCCACTTGCACAACTGGACTACACGCAACCCATCTACTGCATCCCTGGAGACCTTCGGATGCCCCACTACAACTCCACCCTGCTCAGCGTTTCACTACCTGAAGCAGCCAACGTGCACTACTCCCTTCACATTACAACCGGCGACAACAACAACTACGTCATCATCCAACTGCAGATTGAACAACCACTACTCCTGAGGTACCTCACTTCAGGACAATTTATCCACTTCACCAGAGACTACATTTCCTACATGATGTCGGTACAACAGAACTACTACCTCCCAACTACACCACTGCCACAGACCATCTACAAGGTGAACAGCCTCAGGAACAACTATCTTTGGAACTATCACATGCCACTACTACCACCTGAACTACTCCACTACCTCTACAACAGAGACCAACTCCACGACTACCAACACAAGGCAATCACTGCAATTCTCTGCAAGAGTATCCAGTACTGCGGATTTACACTACTCACCATGACAAACCTCACACAACACCACAAGGCACTACTACACCGCTTCCTCAGGGACTACAACCAGCACATGTCATGTCCCGAAATCGACGATGAGCGACTACGAGGAGCACCAAACTACATGACAACCTTTTTCACCACGCACTACTTTGCGACCTTGGACAGTCGACTACAGAAGGTCCAAGACTACCGCACCCAGAACTGGGGACTACATCTTTGAGCACATGCTCTACTACAACAACAAGTGCCTGCCTCACTACTTCCGTCCAGCGCGCTACATCGAGCTGGAACCTGAACAGCGAGAACTACTGAGTGCAGGTTACTACTTTTGTCACTACAATAGAATTGATGAACAACAATGGTTTTCATCACTACTGCCAATCCATGTTTTGCACTTCAGTTGAAAAGGTACTACAAAGACCTTTTAACTGAGGGGCCGTGTCAAACTACATGCTTCACTTCCTGCATTTGTGTTGCATGTACTGCAGGCCTTGAGCTCACTACATCGCATGTGTAAAAGGTGGATTGCTGCAGACTACAATCGGTTGACTGTTTGCTTGAACACTACAGCACTTGCACTTGTAAGCAAAGTAACCACCGATTTTAACGAGAGAGAGAGAGAGAGAGAAGACGATAAAATGTACGAGGGAGACAAGGGAGAGAGGAAGAAGGGAAAAAGGGAGAGGACAATGTCGACGGACTGAGCCGGAGGCTCTAAAGTTAATATATCTACTATTTTTTAGCATTTGATATCTTGAAATCGGGAAACTCCGCAGAATGGGAGAATTGCCCTCAAAGCGGGTGCATTTATCAAGATATGCCAGACCCTCGAGACCCGGCAAAGAACAACAGCCTCATGGGAGCGTCATCGCTCGGCTGCTGCATCAGCCTGCGTTATCTTCTTGCCCTCTGGCGTTCTCAGACCGTCGATCAGGATCCCGCTCAAGTCGACCGTGACACCAGACGTGAAGAATGCATCCACCGCCGAAACGGACCAAGCTCTAAGCCACTGAGGGACCTTGTTGGTGCCAAGCCGGTTGCTTGATGAAAGGCCGAAGGAGATAGCGGTCGGTCCAACCAGGTGGCCATGCTCATATGAGTTGGAGACCTTCACCCAAACAGAAAACAAAGTAGGATCCAACATCGCCACGGCGGTTTGAAGCGGTGCCACAAGATGCGCTGTGGTGAGAAAATTTGGGATCTCCGTGAAGAAGTCCTTGACACCATCCTTGGTGGTTCGGTGATCAGAGATTTATCAAAAAACAAAAAGGTCTACAGTTAAAGGTGTGGCTAGGAACTGCCAAGCATCCACGCTTCTTTGGAGGAGGGATTTTTGCGCTGCTTGATCTGGGACGCTGCCAGTGCCAGTGCTCTGCTCCTCCTCTAGCTCCTCCTTCGTGCCTTCGAAGTTCAGGGTGCGTCGGAAGTTGCGGATGTGAACGGCCATATCTTGTGCAACAGCCTCAAAGACGAGCGCGCCGCCGGCTGAGCCCAGCTTGTCGCCTTTCATCCACGGCTCCTGTGGCACCTCGAGGTTGAAGTTCACCGTGTGAGATGCCGTGCCCGTGAACTGCGGACAAATGAGCTTGTTGGTGCAACCGCTGTAGGTGTAGCCGATGCCCTTCAGGAAGGTTACGGTTGGCATCATGACGTATCCAGCAAAACTGAAGGAAGCACCCATCATCGCTTCTTTGCTGTAGACCATCTTGCCGCTTGAATCCACCACACCCTTGAATGCGTAAGAGAAAGCGCCAGTGACCTTCAGAAAGTTGGCAGGGACCAGCGCGCAAGCAACAAAGGTCGGTGTCATAGCCTGGTCCGCCTGAAGGGACACAGTGCCAGTCCATGCTGTGTTCAGCTCCATGGCGCTGAGGTGGTGCTCCTCCCTTCGGACCTCCTCGAGCAGGGCTCGGACCGTGCCGCCGATGTTGTACCGCAGAAGCGGGCTCACCACCGAACCGGCTGCGCAGCGAATCGTGGCCAACTCCGCCTCCCGCAGCCGTGCGGCAGCCTCCGGCCCGGCCGACTCGATGTCCGCAAAGCCCCGGTCCTTTCGGAAGGTTGCGACAAGGTCCCGAGCCTGGTCGCCCGCCTGAGCACAGGACTCGCGGACCTCCCCCCACGTGCTCACCTGGGCGCCCTCATCGATCTCCTCGTTCACCGGCACGGGCTGGTGGCTGTCTGCCAGCGTATCCAACTCATCCCAGAAGATTTTGAGCCAGGTGCCCGCCTCCTGGCGGATCCTGACTTCGTCGAAGCTCTGTAGGTAGTTGAGCATCTCCTCTCCTGCTGGGCCGCTAAGGTTTCCAGAAATTGCTGTAAGCAGCTTGTCAAACATCCGCGGGGCCACCGCGTAGATGTGGGGCGGGACGGTGAAGGTTCTGGAGGTCTGCGCACCAAAGAACTTGATGAACTTGTCGATGCCAGTCTCCTCAAAGCCGGAGGTGATGGTCACCGACACGTTCTTCACCTTGGCATACTCGGGATCCACCTCGCCAAGAGCCTGTAAGACGCGGCACATACGCTGGGCGGGTAGGCCACTAGCCCGGAACGACTCCATATCGTCGCCCTCGGTGGCATGGACCACCAATTGCCCAGTGCTGTCCCTCAGGTTCCACTTCTCGTCCAGCTGCAGTTTCTGGCCATTGCGCATGGCAGGATAGCAAAAGAAGGGGTTCCCATCACCGGTCACGCGTCCAAAAGGGCACTCCTCAAAAACAAGGTTCTGGGCGACAAAATTGACGCCGTCCGCTTTGGAGCAGCTTGCAGTGATGAACTTCTCTTGCCCGTTGAAGAAGGCTTGGCTGATGGCCCTCGCCAGCTGCCACACGTGATGAGACAGCTGCTGCTTGATGTTGGTGTTCTCGAAGCGCGACGGGCGCGCCCAGGTGAGTGCCATGCTGAACGACCAAAGCTGAAGGTAGATGAGCTCTGAAGCCCTGAGGACGAACTCCGCCCACAGAAACTCACGGGAGTGGAACTTGGACGCGCCGTAGTTCGCCTGCAGCGCCATCTCGAGCTCTTGCACATCTTGCTGACGTCGATCCTCCACGGTGGGTCGGCCTGTCGCCAGACTCCCCAGGCGCGAAAGGCTCCGGTAGATGAGAGCACCAAAGCCGGTGCCGATGAGATCAACGAAGCTCGGCGCGTTCGGGCTTCCTACCTCCAACTTGCCGGACAGTGCGAAGCGGAGATGGCCGAAGAAGGGGAAGTGGGCTTCGACGGTGCCGCCCAGGCCCAGCGACACGCTCTTGGAACTGCGGACGCTGTCGCCGTGGTCATCCTCCATCTCATTCATGGCACCAGACCAGGCAAAGTCCAAGGACGCATGGCCCCGAAAGCCGAGAGTTGCAACGCCGTAGTGGAGCGCTGTGACTTTTAATTCTCCGCAGAAGCCCATGTTGTGGTTCAGGTACTCCAGAAAATGGCGCGGCACTCGGCCAGGGTCTGAGGCCTTATCACCATGGAGCATGCTAGCAAAGGTAAAGTCGCTGCCATTCAAAGCCTCTACCAGTACCTGTTGTGCGATCTCCCTGCCCAGAGCATTGACTGCATCTTTGGCATGCTCAAGCCGCTCGTCAGAGTATCGAAGAGCGTCGGAAGAGGAGAAAAGTGTCAGCCAACAGCCGACAAGGCATTGCACAAAAGACGTGCGCAGGGATTTGTTCAAAGGCATATGGAAGCTATCTGTCAGACCTACTGCACTGCGCTACAGCTGAAACCGGCGAGGTGAAATTTAGACCCCCATCGCCTCATGTAACAAAGGCAGCAAAGAAAGGTGATCATAGACAGCAGCATACCCTCGGTGCTTCCCAAAGGAGACGGCCACAAACTTGACAGAACCCAGGGTTTCAATTTTGAACAGTTGATGTCCTCCCAGTCACCAACAAAACACACAAACACATAATGGGTGTCTTTGTCCATGATTGTCTGCCGCAACTCGTTGCTACATTCTGTGCTGATCTGACCAGCTCAAAGAAGCGAAACCCCGGAGTTCAAGGGAGGATGAGAAGCAACAGACTCAAAGTCACAAACACTGGAGACACTGCGCCTCATGCGAGCTGGCAGCTAAACTGGAGTGAGAGAGGCGGTGTACTGGAACTCAGGGTCGTGTCATTTTGCTTCCGATTTCCAGTCGAGTTTGCAGATGCATCAAAGCAGGACGCGAGGACAGTCATTGATTGACCTGTTTGGTCCTTACTTTTGCTGATTTGCTTTGTGCGGGAATCCAATTTGCCGACGCCTCTGGACAACCCAAGGAACACACTTCGCCACTTGTGATGCTAAGAAGCTAACGGAAAACGTATCTGAGGCTGGGCGCTTAAAATGCCTTGGCGGGGATGGAGCAGCGCAGTGACTGCTGTGAAACTGGCACGTAAATGCGAGTGCTGTTGGAAGTCTGAGCACGCCCCACGCATCCACAGCAACACACACACACACAAGCCCAAACACACAACCCAAACACTCAACCAAGCTCCAACACAGTGACACAGCACCAACACACTCACACAATGCAAAAAACAAAAACACAACAACAAGAAAACACCAACGCACCTCACCACGCAAACACACACACACACACCTAGCAGCAACAATCCACACATGCACTGACAGAAGGATGCAAATACAAGTAACACACGCACACACACACACACACACCAACAATCATGCGAACAATCCAAACCAAAGGCAAGCAACAAAAACATGACAGCAAAAACGCAAAACAACCCAAAACTAAACCAGCTAAACTGAACTAAACCAAGCAACATACAACAACACGTATCTTATCAAAATCATCTTTCAAGTGATTCGCCTCAACGGCAACTTTCCTCGCTGGCAACTTCTCCGATCATTTTTTTCAAGAACAAAAACACACGACATGTGGTATCATGATTATTCCTTTCTACTGGCAAATAAATGTGCAATCAATACAAGAAAAGTCAACAATGAAGACTTTAACATTGGTGTTCGTACATCTGTTTGGCTTCCAGCGTGGGCGCAGGACATTCTAGCGAGGCTTATCACTGAAGAACCTTTTGCTTGTGAGTCCCACCATTTGGCACTCCATGCTTGACTGGGTCAAGCCTGGGTTGACAGAATACATACCAACGCAAAGATGTCTTCAGAGTTTGACACATGGAGCCACAAAGAACAAACATCAAAGTGCCAAGAGTGGAACATACTCGCATGTGAGACTCGCATCATCTGGATATCCTCTCCTTGTTCCACCTGTTCGACGGCTTCAACTGTCTCATCAGATTTCTCACAGCCTCTTTCTCGGAGGAGCCGGTGCACTCCTCGCTCTCGAAAAAGCAGTGCGCCTGGAGTTGAACAGTGCGACCTGGATCGAACAAATGCTTCGAATGGTCAATAAGCTGGAACTTCGGTGGAACCTGCACGTGGTTGAGGTGTGCTTTTTACTAGTCCGGGTTCAACACAAGGACAAGGCCACATGTGCATCTACGCTTCTGGTTCTGGCCACGGAAGCAGAGGCGGTGCTTTCTGGGTCCATTGTGGATCGCCGAAACCAATGGCCCCAATGTTAACGCCAACTGCTTGGAGGGATCCGCAAATTCTTGCAGTGCAGCGGTGTTCGCTCAAATGCAAGCGCTTGGAAGCTAAGAAATGGGTGAGTTTCCAATCAGAGACCCCCAAAATTGGCTTCTTCTGCTTGTTTTTCACCGCGCAAAAGGGCTTCCCAAGAAAAGGAACACCCAGATCTGGCCAAGGCACTCGTACATCCGCTGTGCTCGGGCCTCGAATCTCCACGATTCCTTGAAGACAAAACCTCATTGGCACAATTGATGGAGAAACGGGGAAGTGGCGAAGAAGCTGCGCACGGGTGGCAGGGAAAGGAACAAAGAAAAATGTGCCTTAACGACGTACAACTAATTATCCAAAATGAAACGACAAAGTCAGCATGGCTGGGGCTGGGGCAGCTTTGCCTTTGCTTGCGTGCCTGTGGTGAAGCTCCAGTACCGCGTCACCTCCTCGGGCATGCCCGGTGTGTTCTTCAAATAGTTCACCACCTTGACCTCTTCTCTTTTCAGCTCCTCATGGTTCTGGCATACAGCGCTTTGATATCGCAGAGGACCAACCCTAATACAGTATCAACATCAGGGATGTTTTGGTTACTGTATGACTGAAACAGCTGAGGCCTCAGTCGAGCTCCTCGTCGAAGGGCTCACCATCGTGCAAGGGCCGACACACCCATCGCAGCTGGCAAATCTCTGAAGCGACACTGCTGGCAATGCTGCTCACCATGCTGCTGGAGCAGGTGCGCGGGTCGTCCAAGGATTTTAGAGACGAGGCATCGTCCCTGCTCTTTCGCAAACGCCCACACTTCGGGCACTTGCACATCTCGTTTTGGCAGCGCGCGCAGACCCTGCAATGGTTCAGCTGTCCGTGCCAAACTGATTTCGACCACGTTTTAACATCGGTCTTTGAAGCTTTCCACAGCTTGCCTTGCAAAGGGAATGCTTGGGTGAAAAGCGGAGTTCCCTCGATTTTTGCCATCTGCCTGTGGCCGCAGGGCAGCTTCTTCGACTTGAGGCCGGGATTCGGGTGGTGGCGCCATCCAGCGCACCGCACCCGTGGCCAGACAGTCTCCTGCCACGCCTAGGAGCATGCACAGGTTGTTGGACGAGGGCTGGTTGCTCGTCAGTGACGCTGAGTTCACCAATAAATTATACTAGTACCAAGGGCCAAAATTTGAATACCAGCATTTTGCATTGGCAAAGTCCCCCTGATGTGAGCACCTTCGCATGCTCACCCAAATCAAGAGAGCATGCGGTTCGACAAACAACTTAACCATCCATCCATTGAAAAAGATGAAGCCAGACTGCCCAAAAGGCATCGTTTTGCACAAGTGCCACGACGGCCAACCCTAAAATTCACGGTTACTGTAAAACATGAGCTGAGGTGTCTGGACCCCATTCCCAAGCCTTCCCCAGATTAGTGGGGCACCACAATTTTTGGAGAGCATGCTGCCCCAATCTTGCTGAGAGGTGAACCAGTTTTGGGCAAGCACAGTGCGTTCCCAAATTTTTGAGGGGGCACTGAGCCCGCAAAATTAGGAAGCCACTCGTCCAAACTCCTGATTATTAACGCTTCAACTCCAAACAGAATCAGCATGGCAATCCACAGGACATTCATTGATGCGACGAGCTTACAGCCAGCCTGAATTGGCTCATGTTGTCTGTTCAGGTCTTTTTGCCAATTTCCCAATCTCCCAAGAGCCTTGTTTACCCACATCAGGCTCAAGAGCTCCCGAAACTCCTGTAAGAACTCCATGGTTCGCGTCATGCAGGTCGAGTGCATGCTCCTGCGAAGCTGAGGGGTGCTACATCACGGAAGTTCCTTCTAAACTTCCTTTGATGATGAAATGGGATGCTGATGAGCTTTGCCCTTGCTCTCTGCTTGAAGGCACAACTCAATAACCCCCCAACACAGTTCACGGAAGTTTTTCGTGAGCAAGGGCGATGCAAAATGCCAAGAAACATCAGGACGACCTTGACCAATGGTCTGCTGCGCAGAATTCAATTGACTTGCGGAACCAAATTGCTGAGAATTTGAATGACTTCAAATCATCTGTCGCGTGCTTGGTCTCAACATGATTCGTTCATATACTCCCTAACACAGCATTGTTTTGAATTAGGGATGTGCCATCTGTGCCTCCACCAGTTCAATGCACATCTATTTCTGCATCTCTGCCCTGCACCTGTCAGTAAACCACAAATGCCAAAGCGGGAGCTAAACAAGTTTCATCATGACAGCTCCTTGCAACACTTTCCAACACCCAAGCCTCATTCCCATGGACGAGGGCTTCTCGGCCACTGGCTCTGGCGACGACCCCTCCGAAGTATCTGGCGAAAGACGGAGTTGCGGAGTTTGAATCGCAAATCACGAGACAGGCTAACAGGGTGTTTCAGGTGGAACAATCTTTGAACGTGCTGTCCTTCTTCACAAAATGTCATACAATTGCACGCTGCCCATCCAGCAACCTCAATTAACAGGGAAGTGCGCCATTTCACTTCCTGCGCACCAAAGAGGTGGTTTGGAAAGCTGAATGGTCATTCAGCACCTTGTGGTTTTCTTTGACAAAATCAAAGACACGCACAAGTACTGAACATGCAACGTGCCGAGCTTGGAGCACATTGGATCAGTGTGCCTGCCTGCGCTAAGAGCATACTGTTCTGATTGCTGAGGCACGAGGGCAATCCCTTTCGAGTTGGCGCCCATCCCTGGCTTTCTGAGGACATTTTTCAATGCAGCTTTTGCAGTGGACACATCTGTGGACTGATAGGTCCTGAAAGTCTCTAAACCGAACCAATGCGCAAAGCCCTGCCTGGATTCGGATCCCTCGCAGGCGCTGGCCTCGGTTTGAAATACCATGCCCCGGGAACAAACAAACACACCCACACAAGCAAGACACGAGCACACAAACAGACATACGCGAACATGTGACATGGCCGCTGCAACTACCCAGAAACGTTATGTCCTTGAAAACAGCTTGAGGTATTGTCACGTCAACGTTGTTCTTGGCATTGCTAACATGACAGTTGCCCGAAGGTCTTGTCTTCGCGAATACCCTTTGTCTTACAAGAGAAAATCACTGAGGTTGTGCATAAACAACATGACATCGCGCTCAACAAACCAAATGTTCAGTTTTGACAAGGCATTCTGCTTAAAAACTGAGTTTCATGCGGTACGATACAGGATACTTCCAGGCACCCGCTTGGCCCTGCTCGACTGTACTTTGTTGCTCGACAGGCACTGCGATGCTGCTACCAGAGCATCTTCATTGTACGATCTGGGCTTTCAGGCTTAATGCTCGCAAGCCGCGCTGCAAAACACCAGCCAGTCTTATTTGCCTGCTTCCTTATATGGAAACTAACATGGAAACTACAGGATCCGAATGCCTTGCATGCATAGCTAAGGCGACAGAATATTCCTAAAACGCAACCAGCCTGCCAACCCATGGCTTCCTGTGCAAACAACTCTGGAAGCATTGCGCCTTCGGCATCTAACGAGAGGAACACAGTGCTGCCTGCCAAACAACTCATCTTATTTTCGGACTGCACCCCCCGATGTCCTGCACTGAAAGATCAAAGCGGTCCGCGCACGGAGCCCCTGCGACTGCCCCCAACCCAGATGACAAAGTCAGTGCTCCGAGCAACGCTTTAAGCCGGGCGGCTCCACACTGGGCGGCACCTCGGGCCGATCCACGTCATCATGGCGCTTCCGGGTGCTGCGAACCCACTTGCCAGTTTTGTCTGTGCGCTCCTCGAAGCGGGGCTCTCCGTTGTCGTAGCGGCTTTCTTGCAGCACTCTCCTGGAGAGCCCAAACAACGCTAAAGTCGGTTGATTGCATCCAAAGGCACTTTTTGGGCTTGTCTTGAGGTCCGCAAATTTAACAAACTAGGGACACGATTCTGCATGACTGAAAGCCGAGGCTGGGCTTGCCGATGTGCTTCTGATGCAGCAGATCAGCAGCAAAGCACTGCCTAGCACGTCCTGGTTCTTTGCCCAGCTGGGTGTGTGATTCTTGAGGACTCGGGGAGTTGCAAAAGAACGAAGCCATCTTTAAACAATTTCTCTCATCGCAAATGCCCAAGCGCTGCTTCGGACAAGTACCTCAGTTAATATTCGGGTGCAACCCCCTTCGCTCATGAATAACATCGAAAGTTCACATTGCAATCCTGAGAATAACTCACGAGGCAACCCTTTGCCGGCTCACATGACATTTGAAGTGGCGAGAGCGAGTCGGTGATACCAAAGATCCGCTATGTAGGTTGAGCAGCGCAAACCATTGACCAGAAAGGACACATCAAATTTGGATGAATGTAAATCCGAGCTAGCTCTGCTCTCTAGCCTCTATCTTTGGGTTTCGGAGTCGCCTCAGCAGCGCTGCATCGGCATTCCGTGCGCGCAGGGCTGCCGCCTCCACTTCGCTGCACTTGGCCCAGCCCTCTCTGTCCCGCTGCACGCGGTGCTTCCTCGCGGCTTGCTTCGGCTGAAGCCCAAGAGAACTCCCGCATGAGTTGATTGGTTTGATAGATTTGGACTGATTCTGATAGATCAACAAACCGTCAGAACTTAGGGCGGAGTTTCAGTTAGAAGTGGGCTTCCTCAGTTGAAGTCCTGACATCTGCGATGACCTTGCCCCCTAAACTCGCCAAAGCTTCACACCACAAATCTTGTGATAGACAAATTACGTAACATTTCACTGGGCTCGGTGCTCCTTATAGTTTTTCTCCCCAAATGGTCCAACCTTTTATCCATTTTCATATTCTTCTGGGTGCTCCTTCCTCCTAAATCTGCCCTTATCATAATCCGTCTGTTGGTAATGATTCATATTCGCAAACTTCGCAGTAATCATTCTTCACACTGTCCAAGTGTTCTTTCTCCTATCAGCACTTCCTAATTTCTAGTATTTTTGCGATGCAACACATCTGATACATTAAAGTCAGATTCAATTACATTTCGAACATTTCTGAATTTCAGTCTCCGCCACCTGCTATACGTGCTAATGCCTGCATGTCTGTAAGTAGTTCTGCAAGAAATCAAGAGGTACCACTCAAACTATACCACATACATCTTACAATATTTGCGTATGACAAAAACACACTTGTTTATGCTTTGTAAGAAATATGCGCTAGTACCAAGCTCCATGTAGGCAAACAACTGATAATGTATTTTTACTGAAACATCGCACTTATCTCCTCGGAGTATTCCATTTTATTCATCTTCTTCACTTTCAGTTTCGCTATCTTCTTCAGAAAACGTGCCATTCGCATTCTACAACTTTGACAATACGTAGGTTATGCCTTTTATCTTCATTCATACCAATAGGATGTCAATATTCTACGAGTTCATCAAACAAGTCGATTTCCCTGATGCTATTGCCGAACTATCAAAGAGGTACTGACTAAGAATGTTCAGCTGATGATGGATATGATGAAAACCATTTACAACAAAGTACGGAAGAAGAGAAAGCGAAGATTGAGAAGATGCTTGAGAAAAGACAACTCGGAAGACCGACCGGCAGTTTGAGGAAAAGCGTAAGAAATACTGTGATACGCTGAATGAGGGACAGGTTAAACAGCTGGAATTTTCACAAACTAACTATTCCCCTTTTGTTTTTCTTTTCCGGAAACTGAACATATTGAAAATTCTAACAGTATGAGCTTATTAGACTGATTTAGTAGAACTGGTTCAGTTGGAAAATCGCTCGTTGATTAAGTTTTGATGTAATGTCGTTAGATTTGAGACATGCTGGCATAAATGGTGACAGTTTAAGTGGGATTGTAATCAGTCAGTTTGACGAGAACCACTTTCAATTTATTTGAGCAACGCCCCTTTGTAACGAATTCCGCAAAGCAAAAACCGCAGCACCAAGGAAAATTGAATGTGCTAAGAGTATTGTATGAACAACTATTGAGACTAGCAAATACTTGAAATTAACATATTATCTACTTGAACATCCGCAAGCAAACTGGATTATGAACACATCATGGTTTATGAAGGGGTCAAATTTACAGAACAGGTCATCCTGAGCGGGCTGATTTTTGTGGTTAAAACCAAAAAACCATAGGCTTCACACTTCTCAAATAAAGGTACACCACCTGCAGAACCCCCCCCAAAAAAAACAAACAAACAAACAAACAAACAACAAACAAAACTATGTCCACAGACTAGACTTGGGGACATAGTTATCTTTCTAACAAATAAAGTTTTGATTTGTAGTTCTCTCATTTTGTTGCACACTGTTCCAAAGAAGGCACAACACCTGCCTTCAGACAACCCAATCAAAGCACACAAAACAAAACAACTAAAACAACAAGCCTATGCCCACAAACCAGACTTGGAGGCATAGTCTTGGTTTCCTTCTTTCCGGGTTGTTCAATGCTTTTTCCGTTTTCTCGAGGATTCTTGCATTCCTTTGGAACAATGTGAAAAACCTGGAGAAAACCAACAAAAAGTGAAAATCTATTTGGCCGCTTCGGAGCGCCTTATTTTCTTGAGCCAAAACATGTCGGTAGTCTCAACTGTACAACTGTATATGACAACAAGCGTATTGGGCTACATATTTCAACACTCCTCCTTGCTGGAGGGTGCTTGATCACCCGCACAGCAACTATACAGTGCGGTAGTCGGAGCCTGGACCAGGGCCTTACGAATCTAGAAGACTCATCTGGCCTTTACTCTTGCTTTGAAGAAACACAAATCCGGAACGATTCATTGTGTCCTTCATTTGGACTCCGGGTACTGACTTTGTCAGCACATCAGACCTGTTCCGCTTGCCTGGTATGTGTTCTACCTTTAAATGGTTCATCGCCACACGTTCCTGTAACCACAGATAACGAGTTTGAATGTGGCGTGCCTTTCCCAGGCCTACTCTATTAACCGTGCCTTTGGCTGCGGTTGCATCAGACTCTACTAGAACCTCTACCTCAACTCCAAAGTCTTGAAGGAGGGATTGAAGTCCTAATCCTACAGAACCGCCTTTCACCAAAGCGTAATACTCACTCTCTCCAGTGCTCAATGCTATCGTCGACTGGACGTTGCTTGAGTGCTTCAGTGTATGGCTACCATAGAGGGCAACCATGCCTGTAGTGCTTCGCCTAGTGACAGCGTCTCCTGCATGGTCAGAATCAACCTGTATACGGACCTTCGAAGGTTTGGCTTGTCGCCCAAACACTTGACAAAGATCAGGATACTTCAGCAAATGCCTGCACAGTCTCTTCAGGTCTTGCATCGCCGCCTCGGTCGGGGTGACCATCTTCCTTGAAAGATTCTTCACAGCGTGCGAAAGATCAGGACGATCTTGACTGAGGTACGCTGCTCGCATCACACGCGACCTATAAAGTGAAGCTGCTTCTCGCGCCAACGGAGGGCTGTTAGCCTCCAAAAGCTGCTGCTCCACGGACTTCTTGATGTCTGGGGTCTCAGTGCCCTTCGCGTTCACCATTCCCAGATGTCTCACCAAAAGTTCCACATGACGGCGGTCAGGTTCCAAGAAAACCGCTGATTGGCCTTCGTGCATGCCAATGCGGATCAGACGATTCAAGAAATGTGCAGCGCGATCATCTCCATCCTCGTCTCCCAGCATTCCGAGCCGTTTCAGCTCGTAGGCACTCCTTAGAGTGGAATCCAGCTCATCCAAAGCTTCTTGATCACCAAGTGCAAGGAAGTCGTCTCCATGAACCAACACTCTGCACCCTGTGCTCGGCTTGTAAAAGCAGGAACCATTGCTGCGGCCACGCTGAAACCCATGCTTCAAAAGAAGTTGGGTATAATGGTCTTGCCATATTGCTGGCGCGTCTTGGCAACCATACATGCTCTTCTCCAACAAACCACAGAAGCCTTCTTCTGCGTCTTCTGGTGGAAGCTCCACATATATGCGTCGCTTCGGAACTCCATAAAAGTGCGCTCGACTTATGTCCCAGAGACCGAGCTTCAGTCTCCGGCCCTTGGCTGACACCCGGTCTGTTGCCCAGGCACTCAGCAAGTAGCGCATTGCCTCCAACGGTGGCGTTGACGAGAACAGGAGGTTCTGCGGCAACTGTTCTTCCGGCTTCTTAGCTGCCTTAATTTCACGGGCAACTAATCTAGACCGGTAGTTGGGCTTTTCCGGATCTCCTTTGTTCGTGTCTAACCATCTCACCGTGATTGGACGAAGTCCCTCTGCGTAGCATTGTGTTACCGGCACCTTCCGGTAAACTCCTTGCTTCTTGAAGTAGTCCATCTCAAGAGTTCTGGCCTTCTTAACTTCTTCCGCTGGTAGAAGTCCTCCATTCACATCATCCCAGTACTCTTCAATGTAGCCTGCTGGAACAAAAGGTTCCTCACAGATTGGCCCTGATGTATTCGACTCCATTGAGTTAAGCTCACCCTTCTGTACAAGATAAGCTTTGACTGTCCGAAGGACAGCTTTGACCAGCGCAGGTGGGTACCTGGCGGCCTGTTTGGCAATTCCACCAATAAGGTGTACATGCCTGTGCCAGGGATCTTTCCCTGCCTTGTTGCTGCACTCACCTTCCAAGAGCTCAGCAAGCTCCCGGCTATTAGTGAGCCAACCGGTCTCCTTTCTCACATAGCCCGTGCCTTGAAGACCACGGCGGTCTGTCGCCATCATCTCCCATCGGCACATCGGCCCTCGGACCAAATATGTGTCCGGGCGATCCGTCAGTTCCTTGACTTCAGGATCTTTCCACGAAGTGGCACTCCAGGGCGCCTCGTGCAAGAACAGGCGTCCTGTATCCAGCTGCTTCCTATAGAAGCTGCATGAGTTGTGCAAATGCTCCAGTGCTTTATCCATACGGATCTTACGTTGATCCGGGCTGACCCTGTACTTGTTGATGTTCTGCAAGTGGCTGAATTGATCACACGGCGGACTCCCAGTCAGTAGTACTGGTTCGTCGCGATCAATCAGTTGGTTTACGGCCTCGACGTCTTCTGGCCTGCTAAGGTCCCAGAACGAACCGTCGGGTTTAGCCTCCTCAAGGTCGATTGCGAAACCAGGCTTTAAACCAAACCTGCTCGCCTCCTTAGAGAATCTTGCTGGACTGTACACTTCCATGATGTGTACGGCGCTTAGCTCGCAGCTTATGTTGGCTAGAGTCTCAATTTCCACTGACGAGATCTCTACCTCCTGCTGCTCATAGACCTGCTTGATTCTCCTCTCGATCATCCTCTTCACCACCTCCTTTGCCCTGCTCAAAGACAGTCCTCCCGCGTCCGGGGGCTGCCCTGGAGTAGTTGCTCCAGCAGGTGGCTCTCCAGTTTGATCTCTCAAATCTTCAACTGATACCTCAGGTTCTCTCTTCTCTCCTTGGGGTGGCTGGACCTTCAGCTTAGGTCCAGCGGCTATCCTGAGTTCTCCCGGTCTTTTCTGAGGCTTGACCGGTGAGGCTTTAGCCTTACTCCCTGCAGGCGTACTGCTACTGCTGGGCTCTGCAGGTGCACGTTTCAGGCTTGACCTCTCCTCTGGGTT